TGGTATTGCAGTGCAAAATGTAGTTGAGTCCCAGACAGTCCAATACCGCTTGGTGGTTTGAGATCACTAGAACATCCTTGGCCTTGGAATAGTCGCATAAGTCTATTTCTAAGACCACAAGTTGCTTGAACAGCATATTCTGCAATAACCAAATTGTTCTATTGTAGTTAAGCATAATCCAATTCTTAAGCTTGCGTAACCCAAGTAGTAGAAGGATGTAACATAGAGCAATTGGGAATATGGCAGCCAGGTACATCGTCATTATTGCAATTGTTAACAGCATCTTATATATCATTCTGATGATCTTATTTTCTACAATTTGACTTGATATGAATGTCTTCTGCTTATTTTTCTCTGATGGTGGTGATAATACCACCCTCAATGGTCTTGTTTCTTCATACTCTCTTGAATTGAATTTCTTTCTTTCTAATTTGCTTATTTCATTTTGACACATTTGTTTTAGGGCCATTTTGATATTTTTTAAAGGTATTGAAATTCAAACACCGTGTTTTAATAGAAGCTATTTTCTATTGGTCTTCCTGGTTAGATCTCAAACTTAAGCTTAAACCTCCTATGTTTTGGATTTGCATAAAGAGTGTGAGTGAGTCTATAGCAGAATCGAGCGAATAATACGCTGACTATTGTAGCTATAATGCACACTGCACCGTATAGAAATACCGATTTGCTTCTTCTATAGATCAGTACCTTTCTAATCAGCATGAATGGCGCAGATGTAATCTTGACTATTTTGATTCCATTAACGAGGTATTGTATGAGGTATGCAAGTAACACCGTTTTGGTGTTGAATATGACACGTACTATGTTGCTATTCGTGAACAAATAGAGGCAATCGAACATCAGATCCATTGATGTAGCCAACAATCCCACTATCCAGAGAGAGACTAAGAGATTAATTGTCTTCAGGTAGTCCATATCCAGCATGTAGACGAGGATTGATGTGAATGGTAGGCTAAATAGTGTTATTTGGAACAACTTGAAGATTCCATTGAATCCAGCTGATGATATGAATGGAATAATCTGAGACCTATATGCCTGTTGCAGAATTCTATCATATTGAAGAAGTATTGAGGTGGAGCTGTTGCAGAAGCAGAGTGATAGTAGCACAAATGACAACCAATCGATTGATGGTGCTGTTATTTTGTCCAAATCCTTGATCTCATCCTTTGATAAATTTCCAGTCTCTTTACTGTAAGCATTTTTGAACTTTGAATAGTCCCTTATAAAAAGCATTCCATTCTCATTCTTGTAGTTGGGTATTTTGTCTAATAATGTGAATATGAGCATTGCTAGCACAAACAGGATCATTTTGACTATGTAGTGGACTGCAACGATATTTGGTTTAAGTCTCGTCTTCAGGTCAAGTATCAGTAGAATGAAGCGCATTGATGTATTCTCCTCAGTCTTTTTTGGTAGTGAAATACCGGAATAGTTGTTGATGGCCAAGTCTTCAGACTTCTTGCTCCATTTCTGGATATAGAATGCGTATCTCTTGATTGAATCAAGCACGGTGTATTGGTTAGTGAAGTCTACGTCTAATTGGTCTCTTAGGAATTCAGCTTCCTTGTTTGCATGCTTAAGAAGCCCATGTTTGTATTCTGGTCTATTTTCCGGATATTCACCTGAATAACTTATTTTGTCATTTATGCGTTTAGCTCTTCCTCCAAATCGTGTTGCCACGTCTTTAGTTGATTGATCTATGAATCTATTACTCTTATTTCCCTGGTTACACTCAAATTCATTCTCCATCTTGAACCATCGACTCAACTCTTTGAAATATGTCTTACTATCCTCGTATCTACCCTCGTAGACAATAGATCCCTTACATAGCAGCACCAATCGTACATTCTTATCCTCAAGCATATCTAACCTGCTTTCTAGAAACATGCTCGATGTGAAAATGAATGAGACTCCAAACTCACCTTGTAATGAATGCATAATTCTAAGTAACCTAAGAAATTCGTGTTCTTCTAACTCATCCAATACCGCATCTATCACTATGAATGTCTGTCTTAAGACCATTGCTATCATAAGCTGTACTCTAATCCTATCAAATAGTTTCAGGAATCTGTATTTGGTCGACAAGATTTCTTCCATTCCTAGTAATTGAACCAGTCTTCTTGTGTAGCTCACCATAACAGTCGTATTGGTTTCCAGCTTTACTAGATCCGTACACGTGTAATTCACCCTTTTCTGACTCTCTCTATATTTCTCATATTTGTACACATTTTGCTCTTTGGCCTTCAGACTTCTTGTCTCTTCTTCTCTCTTTGCGTCTGCTTCTATTCTTCCCATGAAATATTTCCTGTTTTCTTCCCCGTAGAATGATAAATAATACTGTAGCAACTCGTAGACTGTTAATTCAGCATCCATTTGTGGAATGTATCTTATGACGCCGACTAATGCAAAAGACGTCATCCTTGTCATATCCTCGCTGTTGTAGACCATTTCGCCTTTTATTTTCCACGTATATGGAATTGTAAATTCCAGTAGTTTCACTATTTCAGACAATCCTGCATTCTCCAATCCCAATATGCAGTAATTCTGCTTTGTTGTTAGTTTGATATTGATTCTATTCAACATTGCACGTCCTTTCCTCGTTATTACACTCACATTCCTAATCAGTATTTCATCGTCATTTGCTTCAATTGCCATAAGGGGCATGTTATTCTAAACTGAAAATGCAACAGGAGTATTCTATATAGAGTTATACCTGTTATTTCATGACTGTTGTTGCTCGTTATTGCATGATACTCCATTTTAATACCTCAAACCAGTCTAATTTCCTAACAATATCTTACTAGTGTTTTTGTTCTTACTTTTAATTTACCTGATTTTGATATTGTTAGTGAATCATTCGTCTTTCATGCATCCGCCACCAATACCTCTTTCTTTCTCCCCTATAACTCTCCTATTGTTTTTTGATTCCATAAATTCAGCCCCTAAATGACATACACAATGCAAAGCATCGAGGATTCAATCACATCAATGGATTTGGTTTACGACGCAAACTTCGGGGAGTGGATCAGGAACGAACAGAACTGCAAGGTTGTAGGTCACACGATTCGGAAATTCATTGGGGCGTACAGCGATGCAAAATTCATTACAGTTGTAAAGTGGATTGTAAAGGACTGGACTCTGAAGAGCATCATTGCCCTAAGTAGGAAGATGGCTACTGAAGAGCTATTTAGGACGCAGAATGAACCACTATTCTCACACAAAACAAACATAATCAGTGGCATGATATATACGTGGAATTCACTCTTTATAGCTGAGTTTCTGACTGCCACTAGCGAGAGATATAGCCCAGACGAGAAGTGCAACTACTATCACGCAGTTCTAGGGCCATTTGATCGAAATAAGCTCAGTGAAATACTGTTACAAATTGAGCCAAAGTTGGATGAGGAAACAAAAGAGAAGCTCGTCAACAAATTCAACAAAAACAGTAACAAAAATAAGGGATCACGCACAGGTAGCATCCTCGATGCTATGAACCTGATGTAAAATTAATCACAATGTAATAAAACTACTTTTATGCAAATAAGCTTACTGAGATATTTTTAACCCATGGGAAACTACAACATTCTTGAGAAGGAGTATACGCCGAATATGGCATTGCTTGCGACTGAGGAGAAGGAGAAGAGGTATTTCGAGATGAGTAAGGAGGTTTCTCGTACGTCTGAGGCTGCCAAAATCAAGCAAATTGAGTACAACTACGATGGTAATTTATTGACGTATTCAACCAGAGATACTCTCAAAATATTCCCAGCCCTGACAAGTGGTGAAATATTCCGCCCTAAAAACATCATTAGCATCAATATGGATCAATATGCATTCGTACAGAGCCATACGCTGGTACACACTGCAAAGGAGAAGATGTTCTACCTTTCAATCCACGATAACAAGTATTTGAGAGACTTCGTAGGTAACGACTCTCCAATCCAGGATATTTCAATAGATTCAATCAACGATACGATAATGAGCGTAACACGGGAATCAATTGATTTATGGGACATCAGAATGGCCAATCCAACTAAGAAGATTCTGAATCCAATGCCACTTGGAGCACTTTCAAATGGTCACTTCTACTGTATGGCTGATAACAACTTCATTGCCATTTTTGATAAGAGAAATGATCAGAAATACCTGACTAAGAAGGCCATTCAAAGCAACTTCTACAAGAAAGTTGCTTATGTTCCAGATGGAACCAAAATACTCCTCAAAACAGCCACTTCGTACTACTTCTACAGCAACATGGGCGAGTTAAACACGTACATCACCCTCGAGAACCCAAATGACGGGGCTGTTACGCCTGATTCAGCCAATCTGCTCTGTCCCAGTCGCAATTACGTCTTCTCGTACAAGATCGAGGATAGAAAGAAGCTTGATTCCCTTGATACTGGAACAGAAAATAACAGAATCAGGGTATCACCTGCTGGTAACCAATTTGTGGTAGGAAATGAAAACAGAATCCAGGTCTACAATTTCTAGGCGTAAATATCAATTACTTATTTCTTCAGCCTCTTTCTCACCATCCTCCTTCTTTTTGAAGAATTCCTTCGGCATATTCTTCAGAATGTCCTGTTCTACGTCCACGACCTCATTGCCTGATACTACAAAACACAGATTCTGCTTTCTTCCTTTTCCTATTGATTTGATTGACGTATTCTCAATTGAATGGATCATTTCTCCACATTTGAATGAACACGATTCCAAAATTGTATTGGCCACTTCTCCCTTGGCAAACTCGTTGTCAAGGACTGTTTTTACTGTCACCTTTTTTGTAGACGTCTTCACTATGCGACGGACTCCACCAATGTTCTTGGTTTTAGCAAAAATCTGTTCCTTACGATTTGTCATAAATGGGTAAATTTTTAGAAGTCTCTTTTGAATACGTTAAATTTGTATTTAATCATGGGGCTATTCCTGCTTTGATTTGGATCTATCATCTTTGACTACTTCTTTTGACACAAACATACTCACAATTGAATAAATCAGGTAAATAATCACACCAATCAGAATGGCATTCACAAACCAGTCTGGAACAACATACATACACAGGTAGCAGAGATCAATGAACCAGAAGATGAGAACATTCATGTAGCAGATGAACGTGTTACAGAATGAACCAATTTCCATTCTACTGGAAAATGGAACAATGTGACCAGAAAAAACCAGGTTGGTCAATTCTGTTTCATCTGCTGCAATTCTGTTCACCATTCCAACCAAATCGTCTCCATCTTGAATTCTGTTGATTCTGTAGCTTTTGTCTCTGCTTCGAATTATGAATGCAGGAAAAATGTACGAATTGAACTTGCTTCCCAGGAAGACATTTGATCCAAAATTGATGAATTTCATGTTCATCCTAATTTCAGTCAGAAATGTCCTAAAATACTTACAGTTGGCACAGTTGAAGTTGTTTCTATCGTAATACACGTAAATCAGAAACAGATCTCTTCTACTCAAATCATCTGGTTTGAGTGCATCCATTATAAACTTGTTTGTGTCAAAATCATTTGAATGTTTCTTCTCCTTGATTGTACCTGTAATGATATCGTGTCCACTTCTGTGCTCTACGTTCTCAACTCTGTGGTCAAACCTCTCTGCCTCGTAATTGAGTTTTACAACTGTTAGAAATAGAGTTAGCATAAATAGGGCTAATCTACAACACTCTTATAATATTAGTCTCTGACACTCTATACTGCTATATTCTGATTGTTTAGGACGTATTTGATGTCTGTTACTCACTTTCTATTTCTTGAAATATTTTTCAAATTTTTATCCCATGGCTAAAATCAGTGGAGTTGAAATTGAGACACTTTACGAGAAGCAGCAACTGAAGCCAGGAAAGGCGTACAAATTCAAATTGTGCTTGATTGGAGACGGTGGAGTTGGTAAAACCACATTCATAAACAAAGTGCTTAATGGTGTATTCGAACGAAGATATATTGCCACACAGGGAGCAGTAACAAAGGATATCGTTCTACACCTTGGAAACAACAGCTACGTGAACTACGAAGTGTGGGATACGGCTGGTCAAGAGAAGTACATTGGTCTAAGAGACGGCTACTACGTGGGGGCAGTTGCTGGCTTCTTCTTCGTGGACGTGAATTCAAGAGAGACATTTGGGTCACTAACTAAGCATATAAAGAGCTTCATCAACGCATGTGGCGTAGAGAAGCCTAAGCTAATCATATGCGCCAATAAGTTTGACATTTGCAAGAAGCCAGCCTTCATGAAGCTTATTCCAAACTACACCAGGGGATTTGACGTAGAAGTGTTCCAGGTCTCTGGGAAGACTGGGCTAAATTACGATAAGCCATTTCTGTCTCTATCAAGGTATCTCTTTGATGATCCAACACTCACGCTCTCTGCTGACATCAGTATGGAGGCATTGCCAAATGACTACGACTTCCTGGCTACGGCAGATGCTGCAGCAAACTTAGCCGAGGCAGAAGCAGTAGCACAATTCAAGCCTGAGGAATGAATGAATAATTTGAATGAACATAAATTAGTTCGTAAATACTTAACAATGACATATTGGTGTCAGAAGAGTACTATCACATATTTTGATCTATGTCAAGTAGAACTGAATTCCTTAGTATTTCTAATACGCCTATGTCTGATTTCCCAATGTTTTGAATGTAACTTACGGCTTCACTGAAATCCTTTTCAAGGAGACTATTTCTACATGATATCAGTAGAGTTACTGCAAAATTGACTAGAAATATGTCTGTGTCTGCTGATAGCATCGAATCAAAGAGCCGAAGCAGTGTTCTGAGGTCGAATTCACGAACAAAGAGGCAATTAAACCACCTGAAAGTGATGAAATGCAAATTCAGGTCAATTCTCTTAAAATGCCTGTACAACTTTCTGTCAGTTCGTCTTAACTTATTCTTAGTCTGTTCTATTGGTGTCTCCTGCATACTGATTATGTTGTGTTGAATTCTATCAAGCAACTTATCAAAGCATGCAAATACGTCTGATTCCTTTTGCATTGAATTTGAGTTATCATCAAAAATCAAAACCAGAAATGGAACAACTAGATCACACATCCCTTGCACGTACTCCAAATACGGCCTACGGGCAGCAGTCATCACCAACACATTCATGTAAACGTAGCTCAGATCCACCCCATTGATAATTCTGTGTTTTAGGTCAATTCTCCTTATATCGATGAATATTTGGTGAATTACAGATGTACTGATTTGGTACGAGACATATAGGCCATTTTGGCTTGTAAAGTATTCTTCAGAATAGTAGTCGGTATTGCTTGCAAGTGACATTTTGTACAGATTCAGGTTGTTTTCGTCTATTTCCTGGAAGAGTGTCGTATCTGTTTCATAAACTCCTAAAAGGAGCTTGTATGCCACCACCCTGTGCTCATCTGGTATTCCTTCATAGCATCTGCTCCTTAGTTTCCTCTTGTTTACGTATTTTCCTACCACTATTTCACTAAAGAACGGATTCTGTTCCATTTCACAGGGCTTCCTTTGTTTTTTCCTGATTTTTCAACTCCCCTATGGCACTCTTTGGATTTGGATCAAATATCATGGGGCAACTAGCCCACTCAGAAGAGTACATATTTGTGGATAAACCAATTGAAATAGAGTTCTTCAGAGACAGAAGGATCAGAAAGATGGCTTGTGGAAAGATGCATGTTCTGGTGCTATGTGAAAATGGTGAATTGTACAGCTGGGGTGTGAATGACGATTACGCCCTGGGACGAGATGGGGTAGATGAAGAAGGAATTAAGAAGGTTGAAACCAATACGAGAGATGAAATAGTCGATATCTGTGCTGGAGCAAGTTATTCGGCATTTTTGACTAAGAAGGGTCATGTCTACTTGTGTGGGACATTCAAGTCTACTAATGGGGTATTTGGATTCAGTTTAAATAGCAAATTTGGAATTGGATTTAGACAGGTTTCGAACCTGAAGGGTATTACAAGCATAGATGCAGGAATGAATCACATTCTTATGCTTAGTAAAACAGGAGACATCTGGTCAATGGGGGCAAATGAGTCATATCAACTAGGAAGAAAGCATAGGATAAGAAGAGAGAAGTATGTTCTAATACCAATGCAAATAAGCAGTATCAGGAATAAGGAAGAGAACTATAGGTTTATAAGGGTGGCTGCTGGGGCATATCACTCTTTAGGAATGAATGATGGTGGAGAAGTGTTCTCATGGGGATCTAATTGTAATGGACAGCTTGGAAATGGGACATTGGAACCAGGAGACCTGAAATACAAGTTAGGAATTCAGAATGTGGTGGATGTGGCCTGTGGTTACAATCACACTCTCATTATGCAGAAAGGTGGTGGAATATTTGGTTGTGGTGAAAATGGACAAAAACAGTTTGGAATTTGTGGGGGGAATAAGACATTGAAGAAGCCAACTAAAATAGCAGATGGGTTTGAGAGAATTAGGTCTGGTGGTGACTTCATAGTGGTTGAGAAGAAGAATAAGCTCTATGCAGCAGGAATAAACGTAGAATGTGAATGTGGGCTAGAGAATAGAATTGAAGAGGTATCGAAGCTGACTGAAATACAGTTTGATTTTGGTAGAATTATAGACTACCAATGTGGTGGAAACTATACGTTGATTTACACTGAATAAATTGATAGGAATATTTTATACCCAATGTTGAATAACAATCAAATAGCAGTGATTGACACATGTGCAATATTAAAAAGAGTGGATGTTGGTACAATAGACGTGTATACGACAGAAGGAGTGGACAACGAATTACGAGACAAGGAGTCTCGTGAGATTATTGGGCAAAAATACGTGAATTTGAAAGTGAGAAATCCATCAGAAGAAAGTATCAGAAAGATCAGAGAGTTTTTGATTGATAAAAAGAGCAACTTGAGTTGTGTTGATATTGAATTGGTAGCATTATTCTATGAGATACATAGGGAAGTAGAAGAGGAGAATGGACAGGATGAGTGGATTACAGCTGAAAACTATAGGAAGATTAAAAATGTGGTAATGCACACAGATGATAATGGAATAAGAGGAGTATTGGATGGATTAGGACTACAAGAGAGTGGATTGAGTGACAAATACTACAAATACAGGTGTTTTACTTGTTTCAGAATTTATGAAGATGATATTGATTTCTGTAAATCATGTGGATACAAGACAATCACACGTGTTGGATTTATAATTAAGAATGGGACTGAAGTGATGTGTTTGAAGAAGGGATATGAGCAGAAAGAGAAGAAAATATGCGATAAAAATGGTAATGAAATTGGGTGTGAGGACACCGTAGAATACAAGAAATATATCAAGCACAAAAAGAGTAAGAAATATCTAAGTTGACTAAATTACTTGAATTTTCTTGATTCTCTCACACAATCTCTAAGTTGAATCAGGTCGCCAACTTTCACTGGACCATAAATTGCTCTAATTAGTGTTCTACCAGTTTTCTTTACTTCCACCCTACATTGTCTCAATGAACCACCAGAACCAATTACACTGTATACGTTGATTACTTCAGCCAGAAACTGGTCTTCATCAACTGTCTTTTCAATCTCTTCTGTTGGAACATCCTCTGTGACTTTCTTTTCGATCTTTTTACTAGCACTCATTTGGGGTGGAAAAAATTCAAATTTTTAGGCAAAAAATATTTAGGTTTGTTGCAAGTTATCGTAATCAACAGATGTCTTCCGATTCCTCATCTTCCTGTCTTATGAAGTAATCGATGCTATTCTCATTTAAATATGCTGTAAAATTGTGCATTATGTCACTAGGCATTCTATAGATATTCTCCTCAATTTGATACTCCTTGAATTCTGTTAGGTTTCTACAGTCATTTTCTTTATCCCACAATTCAATGATGAATTCAACTCTACTGAATCCTTCTTTATCATCAAGTTTCTTCATTACATCACTAACAAGCTTCTTGATGCCACCCTTCTGTATACTACATTTGCTTATTATACCCATTGATATAATCTCTACTCTTAGTGCTTCTTGTGTCATGTATTCACCTTTGTATTTGATCTTCTTCTGAATCAAATTGACCAATTCATTCTCAACCTTAATGTTTTCTTGTTTGGTTGTTTCCTTATCCTTTCTTTCGTATCCATTATCAAGAATGAATTTGATTCTGATTAGATTTTTGTCTTCATTGCTAAATTCATAACCTTCTGTCTGAATCTTCGAATCTAACTCTGTAAGTCCATCACTTGCTTCTCCTTGTGCTATATTCTTGTATATTACATCACTTTGTAGAATTTCTTGAAAATTATCCCTAAGAAATGCAAGTGTTTTGATCTGTTTGTACTCGTATAGCTTATTTGGATAACAAGCTACTTCAAATGTAAGTGTTTTATTCAATTTTAACTTGTATGTTACAATAGAAATGTTCACAAACTTGAAATTTGTCTCGGGAAGGAACATTTGGGTTAAAATAATTCGATTTATTTCTTTATTTTTATTACTATGAATGCTGTAGTAAAGACCAGCCCAATTGCAAAGATAACACAGTATGTTTTCTTCATGTTGGCTGTCTTCTTTAACTTTTGTAGATATTTCTCATTAAAATCCAATCCATCTGAATAATCCCTGATCTTATTATGAACCCCCATCAATTTCTCATCTTGTGCATCCAAATCATCTTTGATTACATCGCAATGACTCATAGCCATGTTAAATAGGTCACTGTTCATGTTTATTTACCTGTTTCATCTTCTATTTTTATTTCTCTTAGTTTATTTGTCTATGAAAGAGATTGGAATAGCTAATCTACCAAATCTAAAGCACAAAATACATACTGAAAAGGGAATCAGATTCAATATGGCTGTTGCAGGTTCACACGGATTGGGAAAGACAACATTCATCAACAACTTTCTTGGACAGATCGTATTCAAAGAGCATTTCAATACCAAAATAATTCAGGAATCTTGCAGAATTGAAACAACTAACTTGGATTTGGAAGAAGAGAACCTGAAAATTAGAATGGATTTGACCAAGATCGATGGTATTGGTGATTGTGTTAATAATTCTAACGTAACTCAGCCTATTAGAGAGTTTCTACTACAGAAATATGATGAGTATTCAGCACAGTTTGACAACAAGGTGAAATCAGAAATAGAAGACCCTCGAATTCACCTATGCATTTACTTCCTAGAACCAGTCAATTATTTGAAACAGAGTGATGTGGATGCAATGACTGCAATATCAGAGTATTGTACAATCATACCAGTTGTTGCTAAATCAGATTTGCTTGTGCCTGAAGAAATCAATGAAATTCGTCGACTCATTTCAACAACATTCAGCAACCACGAATCATATTTCATAAGTTGTACAACAGATTGCAGTGAAATCAAGGAATATAACTGGGGAGTAGTTAAAAGAGACAATTTTGATTTCCACAAATTGAGACAGGATGTGTTAGAGAAAGAGACACTAGGCTACTATGAAGAAACAGAATTCCTCTACGATACATACAGAATAAACATTCTGGCTGGGAAAGTGGTGAATGGACAAAGTCTGCTTACTAAATTGAATGGAAAGCAACACGAATTGGATGAGATCAAGGAAAGAATAAGCCGTAAAAAGAAGATTTTAGGTGAATAAATGAATAAGCATGTGCTAGATACATTTGTAGTAAACTATTATTCACAAGTTCATACTCAAAAGGAGAGATTAAAGAAAATCGCAGTACAAGGAAGAAGATCAGGAAATTCTTCAAATACCATTTATCAAGAGAGATAACCTGTCAGTACTGAATTCAGTGTAAAACTGTGTTTCTAATCATTTCGATTAATTTCAGGTTTTAAAATAATTTTTAGAAGTAAACCTATCATGATTGATAAACTATTTAGTCTAGCTGCTGACGAACGTAGGAAATAAGAAAGCTATATCACTATTTATTGCCATAACCGCAATCGTTTCATTCTGGCCCTGTTCTCTGCCTCCTGATATTCTGCTAGTTTTCTACCATATTGTTGATTGTTTCCCTTGTAGATTTTAGCGTATCCGCCTTCAATTAATAATTGATTCAAATCAGTTCCATTAATCAGGTGAATTATACCTATGTCTCTATTGAACCTATCAATTCCAAGAAATTCAACTTTTACGTTCGTGTTGCCGATAATTTTTTCTACGAAATTCTTTGCGTCATACGCCCACCGTTCTGGTTCCTTTCCGTTGGTTTCATTCAATTCAGGAGTGTCCATTCCAGCAAATCGTATTTTGATTTCGTCAGTTAAACCCTTCAGGTTCGTTTGATCCTTGTAGAACTTCACACGTATTGTATCCCCATCAATGACTTTAGTTACTAATCCAATACTCGACATAAACATATTTATACAGTTGATACTTCTTAAATAGTTTAAAACAGTGATATGATACTTTTTGTTGCAATATAATTATGTCAGCAATTTGGTATAAACGTGTTGTATTTATGATAGTTATATGATAAAGCTTTATCAGCCTGAGGATGTATTTTGATGATCTTATTTCCAACTGTCAAAATATAACGTGTTGTGGTTTGAAACAGCAACACGATTCATTCCCGTCATCATTTATGAAAGCAATAATTTTACCCCATTATTCATGCCTGAGAATTGGACAGAAACATACAGACCAATTAATACAGATTCATTCATAGGTCCAGTATATCTTAAGAATCTACTTAGATCAAATAGTGATATTCCACATTTACTATTGTATGGCCCACCAGGAACAGGAAAGACAACATTTGCCAAATTGATTTCTCAAAAATATGAAAGCACTTTGTTTCTAAATGGATCAGATGAGAGAGGAATTGATGTGATAAGAAATGTTGTGAAAAAGCAAGCCCAATACATTGGTAAGAAGTTCATAGTGTTGGATGAATGTGAAAATTTAACAAGAGATTCGCAAACTTGTTTGAGAAGAGTCTTAGAAGATTACAACAGTACAACATTCATATTCATCACAAACTACATCAGCAAAATAATAGATCCGATCAAAAGCAGAACTGTGAAGATAAAATTCAATAAGGTGCCGTTTGATGAAATATTAACTGGTATCAAAATTGATTTGCCTGAGCAAGTTATTAGAAGAGCATATGATAATACCAATGGTGATCTCAGGAAGATGTTGAATGTTCTTCAAGGAGTGAAATATGGAAGTGTTGTTAATGTTAACGTGGCTGATTTGATAAGGTTGGTTGATTACTTTTGTGCTTTTGATTGTGATGCTACAGATGTTGAGAATGAGAATATATCAGCACTAGACTATATTAGACAGCTAATTTATAAAGTAGAAGATGGAGAATCAGCCATCAAACTAGGAGAATTAGAAAGACAATGCTTGAATGGTTGTTTAGATGAAGCGATTTATGAGAGCATTAGGAGAAATAACATCGGGTGAAAGTAAGTGAGTTAAAATAATGAATGATTGAACTTAATTTAGTCATTCACTTCATCATTTTGCGTAATGAATGGATGTGCTAACAACTGTTCAGCTGAGCATCTTTTATCCTGATTGAACAATATTGACTTTTTGAGAAAATCAACCAAATTATAATCAATGCTGTCAGGCCAGATGTATGGAAAATGGATTTCATTATCGGCATTCACTGTAATATTCAAATCGTTTCCTAAGCATGCAAATATTTGCTGACTGCAGATTCGATACCTTTCTGACACTGTCTTATTCTTCCATATCAATGGATACACCAATGAGAATGCGAACA